GCCATGAGATTGCATTTTATCGGCTGAGTCATGGCTAATGTCTGGGCCCTGGACCCAAAGAGAGAGTGCCAAGAGTCAAGGAGGGCCCTGGGAGGTAGAGACCAGCTTGGAGCTACTGTCTAACCCATTTGATATTCTGCATTTAACCTTATGAATAAAAAAACCCCTTATTTTTTAGGTATGTGTGTACGTGTGTGTCCCTGTCTTGTGAAGCCAGGTACATGAAGAGGCACTGAATTGAGAAGGTAGAGTTAGAGGTGTTTGTGAGCCACTTGACGTGGGTGTAAGGAGCTGAATTTGGGTATTGGGAAAGAGTATTGAATTCTCTTAACCACTAGGCTATTTCTTCAGACTTCCGCCCTTCCTCCCTCCCCCTCTTCAGATTTATTTTTGTATTTTTTTTTGTTTTGTTTTTTGTTTTTTTTTCGAGACAGGGTTTCTCTGTATAGCCCTGGCTGTCCTGGAACTCACTCTGTAGACCAGGCTGGCCTCGAACTCAGAAATCCGCCTGCCTCTGCCTCCCAAGTGCTGGGATTAAAGGCGTGCGCCACCAACGCCCGGCTTTATTTTTGTATTTTATGTGTATGAGTATTTTGGGTGCATATATGTATATGCACCACATGCATCCTGGTACGCACAGAGGTCAGAAGACGGTATCAGATTTCCTGGAACTGGAGTTAACTGCCGAGTCCTTTCCCAACCCCTTTTGGAGAGTCTAACTATGTAAGCCTAGCTGGCCTAGAACTTGCTACGTAAACCAAGCTGGCTTGGAACTCTGATAAGAGATCTGACTTCCTCTGCCTTCAGAGTGCTGGTACTAAAGGCAGTTGCTGCTATGCCTGGCATGTCTTTTCGAGAGTCACTCCATTTCAACCTTCTTAGTTATAAATTATTTCTGGGACTGCTGTCCTCCAGTCCTTCTGATCCTCGTGCCTTCAAATTCCACCAGAGCCACATGGGACTCGCTGGGCACCAAATCACATGTACATTTCCAGCGATGCAGTTTTATTACATGCCTGGAGTCTCCATGAAACATGAGAAACCTGCCTCATCAGAATCCTGACACCTACGACTCCTCAACACAATCTAAGACCCTTGAAACATCCTCCCCCCAGTGACTGGATGGTGGGCACCCTTCCACTCACACTGAACCAGGAGATGGACCCACTTTCACGAAGCCTGAAGCTACAGAGAGTTTATTGACTTCCATACCTTCATGGAGGATAGGGACTCAAGTGGAGGTTCCCATAGATTGTGGTTCGCAACCTGTAGATCATGACCCCTTAGGGGTAGAATGACCCTTTCACAGAGCTTACCTAAGACCATTGGAAAACACATTTACTTTACAATTCATAACAGTAGCAAAATTAGTTATAAAGTAGCAACAAAAATAATTTTATGGTTGGGGTCCCCACAACATAAGGAACTGTGTTAAAGGGTCACAGCATTAGGAAGGTTGAGAAGCACTGCTCTAGATAGTGGCCAGCGTTCTTCCACAGAGCGGTGTAGGCAGTGTAGACCGGATCTACAGATGACCACTCAACTGTCTTAATTAAATAATTCACATAAAACACGTCCCACACAGCCAAGGACATCACCCTCTGTAAACTCCTCCTCCTCCTCTTCCTCTTCTTCCTTCTCTTCTGTATGTGTGTGATGTTGGGCATCAAACCCAGGGAAGTACCTCAGCTATCATCTATCTATCTATCTATCTATCTATCTATCTATCTATCTATCTATCTATTGTATATATAAGTTCACCATGATGCTCTCTTCAGACACACCAGAAGAGGGCATCAAACCCCATTGCAGATGGTTTTGAGCGTCTCTCTCTGAGGAGTCCATACCCTCCCTCCTTTCCTTTCTTCAGGAAAGAACAGCGTTGCTTTATCAGTCCTGAAATGGATGTCCTGAAACTTGCTATGTAGACCAGGCTGGCCTTAAACCTAGAGATCTACCTGCCTCTGCCTCTGAGTGCTTGGAGCTTACCTGCCTCCTGTGCCTGAGGCCTGGGGGTTTGATTTCTCAGCATAGGTGCACAGTAAGAAGGGTTTTTTTTGTTTTGTTTTGTTTTGTTTTTTTAAATAGGAGTGTTTGAAGAGACAAAGTATTTTGAGTGATGCTATGTAGCATCTGTCTTGTTGCTAGAAGATACTAGCAGCTGTGACAAGTTGTTCCTCTCTCATCTTTATTTCTGTGGCCTCCTGGAAATCCTCTCTTCTGGGTAGATTATAAGGATGTCTCATGGGGTTGGGGGAACACTTGCATAGAATGAAAGAGACCCTGGGTTCCATCCCAAAGATGGGGTTGGAGGGGGGGTGGCAAGAGAGTCACTTCAACAAGTGGTGTCTCAGTTGGTGGTCACTGGTTAGCAGAGGTTCAAGCCATCCTGTATCCTCTCCTCTATTTAGGGGTCTTCTCTCCTAGGAGAAAGGTTTCTATGGAGCGCATTCATATCTTGGCCTCGAATTGTGATCACGCTTAACTGTGACAGTAGAATTGGTCTGTAGCTCAACTGTCCAGTCTAGTGGCCTCTATGACTGGTGACAGTAGGAATGTGAATCCAATGTGCTTCCTTTTGAGACAAGGCTTCTCTCTGTAGCCCAGGCTGGCCTCAAATGCGTAAGGGCTGGGAATACAAGCGTGAGCCATGACTCCCAGTTTTTATCTTAATATAATCACCCAGGAATGAAAGACGACTGTTTTGAACAGTACGGCTTTGCCTAGTTCCCAACCTGGCTCTCCCTTTCCACTCAGAGAGAAGACGCTGCACGTGCCAGGCCGTGGAGGCCAGGTGAGACAGCAGTGGGCCTCAGTAGGGAGTAGAGTGGGGGAAGCCGTGGGCTAAGTCCTCCTTCAAGAATGCACAAGGGAGCTCTGTGGGAGAAGGCCAGCCCACAGGAACCCCACTCCACCCCAGTGGCCATCACAATGGAACTCAGGTCTGCGTCACAATGCCACTGGCAGTGGGAGGCTGGTCTCTTTGTCTGGAGACCTAGTTACGGGAACTTGAGCGTCAGAGGACCCTGTTTCCTGGGGAATGGAAAGGAGCCCAGCAGCAGAACAGCCTCAAAATGGAGAACTGTAAGAAGAACGAGTGTGAGGCTGGGCAATCCTACTCAGTCCCTGGACCTAGCGACTGTAGGGCCCAGGTGACCGCCTGCAGGGAGCAGGGCAGGGAGCAGGCATTCTCCGTGAACAGTGAACAGCTGCTGGTCTTCTTCCTGGCTATCTGGTTCTTCTATTTCTTCTACCTCCAGGACTAATTCTGACAGAGCCTCCTTTCCAGCAGCTCAGGGAGTGGCTGAGGGTCAGAGCCTTGGCCCCATCAGGCAGCTGACCAGGCCTCACCTGTTAACTTAGGGAAGGAAGACCCAGAACCTGAAGCTACTGTGGACCTCTAGCCTCAAGCCACCCGGCTTCTGTTCTCAGAAGACCCCAGTGCCACGTGTCTTAGGCCTTGTGCCTTTATTGAGTATATGACCTTATTAACAGGCAAAGGACATGTCATCTCTGGAAGGCTGCCAGGTGGAGGCAACGTTGTAGCTGCATCTTCTTTGTCAATGGTGTTGAGCAAGATTAACACCAGTTTTGTGTCTGGCCCCAGGCCCAGTCTCTGAGAAATAAAATGTCCATGGGGCCAAATATATTTTTATTTCAGTGTCTTTGAGACAAGTTGTTTGCTATGTAGCTCAGGCTGACCTTGAACTCACAGCTGTCCTTCAGATATTTGTATTTACAAACTTACACCACACCCAGCTTTCGTTCATGTATTCTAGGGCAGATTATAATGTTTCTGGTAGTGGATGAAGAAAAGGAGCACTTCCATGGGGGATGGGGGCAGGGTCAGATTAAGAGAAAATTTAATCACATTTACAGTGTGTGAGTGGCTCCCCACCCCTACACCCCCCCCCCCCGCCCTGGACTCAGGGTATCTCTAGCCTACCCCAGGGACTCCCAGACCTAGTTTTCCAGTAGAGTAGGCCAGGTACCTCTGGTAGAGCTACAGAGAAGCAGCAGCGTGGGGGCTCTGGGGGTGGGGGGGGGGCAGGGATGGCTCCCGGTACTCACATAGAGGTGTAAAGGCTGAGTGGGAAGTGGGCCACTCCAGAGACCATGATAGGTTATGGGGAGGTGTGGACCCCCAAACCAAGCCCTCTGTAGTTGCATGGCCAAGAACACAATACCCAGAAGGGAGGCTCAGGCATAGAGTGGGATATGCAGGAGCCACCAGGAGTGCAGGGTGGCCTGTCCATGCAGACCCTAGTGTTTCATACGAAGGCTGAAGCCCAACAGGCACTGGTATGTATAGGAGGAAGGAGGTGACATTCCCCTACTGGCTACCTCTATGGACACATCCTAGGAACTCTGAAAGCAGATTCCCTAAATCTTGGGATTGAGCCCTGAGCAACCAGAGGAGACGACAAGTGGCTCAAGGGGCTGGGATTCATCTCACAGACAGAGCGGGACGCTGGAAGGGGGTGGGCCTGTGAGGTCCTTCACAGGTGGTCGTCTACTGGCTGCAAGCTCGACAGGGCCAACAGAGCTATAGGCAATTTCTTTGGGACTCCATAAGGTTTAATTTTGAAAGGAAAACAAATGTAGCCTAGGGATGCAAGGAGGTGGTTCAGAGGGTAAAGGAGACGCCACACCGCTGAAGACCTGAGGTTCTGGGAGTCACATAGTTGGAAAGACTGAGCTGACCCCTGGAGCACTGATTTCCACAGACATACCAGGGCACACATGTGCCTACACACACACAGGGAATTTGTTAAAAATGCTTCCTATAAACAAGTTTTCTCCTGCAGTGGGCTACATACGGAAGAGGAACCCTCTCCCTCAGAGAGTGGCTCCAGGAGCAACTCTGGCTCCAGGCCTGAGAGGAGCTACTCGCTTTCCCCTGGCACCGACACCCACGCTGGATAGATCTGAACCCCTGCCTACCCGGTGCAAGAAATTGCATATGGCTGTCCTGTTCTGTGTGCCACGAGGAATCCTCATTGAACGTCAACTGTCACTTTATTAAGGCTGCCAGTGTCTGCAGGGGTGGGGGTACACATGGATAACTCATGTGCTTAACAGCCCCTACCATGGTCCACTTCTGAGTGACCCTGAGGCAGAGAAAGCTGTGTGAGGCCCCACGTCACAGTCTGTTGAGCCCCACCCCCACAAAGCTCCACTACAAGGCTGTATGCAGATAACATGGGGGCATCAGGGGATGCTCCTGAACAGTTGGGGCTGGCTCGGGTTGGGGAGTGGCAAGGTGGGGCAGGAAGAATAGTGATGTCTTCCCAGCCCAGCCCTATGGCTTTATTATCCTGTTGTTGCCTAAGCAGGAGTGGGATGTCCCTACCCAGTCCCCATAACACACCATGAGGTATTCCAGCCCAGGAGAGAACAGAGGCACTGGGATTCTGTTCTTGCTTCCTCCACCTTCAGGTCTCCCCCAAAATGGGGCTTCTCCAGTTGAGGATCGTCTCTCAAAAATGGACCCGCAGCACATCCTGGCTGGTGACTGGCTGCTGGCAGGCTGTGCAGATCATGGGCTGGGAACGTTGCTTCTCACTCAGGCAGGGTCGGCACAGAAGGTGGCCACAGGGCAGCTGGTACACAGGCTCACTTGTGGAGTAGGAAGAAAATGCTCGTTTGCAGGAGGCACATTCTGGGCCAGAAACACTCCTTGGGTGCTCTAGTGAATGAGGAAAGTGAGGCAGGGTTAGGTGAAGTTGTTCCTCAGTGCATGCTTTGCTCCTGGAAGCTGGAACAAAGCACGCCTCCCATCTACCTGCCATCTTTATCTTGGTGCTGCGTATGAATGTTTAACAACTGGTTTCTGAATGCAGTGTACAAAAGGACCAGGCCTGTCCCCTGGTCTCCCAAACAAAGTGCCAAAGCTAGCACAAGGTACAAGCTTACCCTGCCAAGAGAAGCTGTCAGGTAAGCAAAAAGCAGAATGTGGGCCAGCTACCAGGACAGTCAGAGCCATCGGGGTGCAGGGATCACCAGAGGGGCAGCTTCAATCTCTTAGTGGCTGTCTCTAACCCCTCGATCCCTCGAACTGCTCTGGCCTTGAGCAGGCACCCCCACTACAGGATTCCCCTGAGGTCTCTAAGTGAGGGCAGCTCCTGTGGCTCTTCCTTCCTAGTGAGTTTAGTTTGAAAAAGCTGTTCTTTCTCCTCAACTCTAGGAAATACAGAGGCCAGCCTGGCCTGTTTTCAAAGCTCACTCTTCAGTGACTTGGGAGGCCCCAAGTTACATCACTTTGCAAAAATTCCTTGTTTTTGTCTTTTTTCCAAGTTGGTCCTGAGCTTGGGATCCTCCTGCCTCAGCCCCTGTGGGCTTAGACTACAGCTGCAAGCTACTATTCCTGGCTTGGAAATTCTTAACTCCAGTCTTGCTTTCTTTAAAAAATATTTGGTTTTATGTGTATGAGTGTTTTGTCTGCATATATGCCATTGTACTATGTGTGTGTCTGGTGCCCACAGAAGGCAGGAGGGGTATCAGATCTCCTGGAACCGGATGTACAGATGGTTGTGAGCCATCATTCAGATGTTGGGAATTGAATCCAGGTTCTCTGTAAGAACAAGTACTCTTAACTACTGAACCACCTCTCCAGCCCACTCTGATCTCTTAAATCTTTGTGAGTCCTTGTATATGTATGCCTTGGCTGGGGTGTGGAAGTCAAAGGACAACCTCAGTTATTGGTCCTGCCCTTCAGACTTGACACAGGGTCTCCTGTCTGCCCCTGCATACATCAGGCTACAAGTCAGTCTACAAGTCTCCAAGGATTCTCTGGGAATGGAGGGGGGTAGGCTGAAGTAGGAGGATTGCCTTTAAGTTCAAGGACTACATAGCAAATAACATACCATCCAGAACTACATAGTAAGATAGGGCATATCTATCATCCTAGCACATGGGAGGCTGAGGCAGAAGAAACACTGCAAATCTGAAGCCAACCTAGGGTCCATAGTGAGACCCTGTGATGGTTTGAATATGCTTGGCCCAGGGAGTGGCACTATTAGGAAGTGTGCCTGTGTGTCACTGTGGATGTGGGCTTTAAGACCCTCATCCTAGGGCTGGAGAGATGGTTCAGTGGTTAAGAGCACCATCTGTTCTTCCAGAGGTCCTGAGTTCAATTCCCAGTAACCACATGGTGGCTCACAACCATCTGTAATGAGATCTGACGCTCTCTTCTGGTGTGTCTGAAGACAGTTACAGTGTAGTCACATACATAAATAAATCTTTAAAAAAAAAAAAACATTAAAATCCTAACTAAGTAAAACTCTATCTCAAAAAAAAAAAAAAAGGCTGATTAAAAAAAAAAATGAGTTCTCATGGTACCGAAGACCTCAGAAGCATTCAGCATAGAGACTGCACGGGGGGAGCAGGGTCATCTGTAAATAGAAGGGTCTCCATCAGTGCTAGGACTGCAGGAATAGACCTGTTTCTGTCTATCTGTCTGTCTCTCTCTCTTTGAGACTGAGCGTAAGTATTTCAGGCTAATTTTAACGCCTGTACCAAGTGCTGGGCCTACAGACACAAAGTATCAAGTCTAGGTTAAGTGCTGGGACACTGGCTTAGGGTTTTGTACACGGTGGGCAAGCACTCTATCATCTGAAGTACTTCCCCTGTCCTAACACATACCTCGCACAGCACAGAAGTATACATGGTCTGAGCAGTGGTGGTGTGTGCCTTTAATCCTAGCACTTGGGAAGTAGAAGCAAGGTGATCTTTGTGAGTTTGAGGCCAGCCTGGTCTCCAGAGATAGGCCAAGCACAGCTAAAGCTACACAGAAATACACAAAGGGCTCCAACTGCCTTTAGCACCAACAGGAAACCCCATTAATAGCTCTCAGAGATCTAAAGCCTTGAACAACTTCCGAGACAGAAAACAAAGATCATTAAAGCAAAATAAATACATACATACATACATACATACATACATATGCAGAAATGCTGGTATGATCAAGAGGAAAGAAGATACGGGACAGCGGGCTCTGACTAATGCCATGTGAATTATGTGGAACCCTGTGATCTATAATTGTAAAAGACTCTGACTCCATAAGGACACCGAGGCCGTGGACCATGGGGATGGTGGGCAAAGCAGCTATGGAGTTAGCAAAGAGCTAACAGGAGCACAACACGGGCTGGGGGAAGGCTGCAGAGCTGCCACCAGGGTGTCTTTCAGAATCACAGCAAAGAAAAGTGCAAAAGAGAATGAAGAGATGGCTCAGCCTGACATCCTGAGTTCCAGCCCTGGAGTCCACAGTGGGGGGAGAGCCAACTTCTTAAAGTTGTCTTTTGACCTCCACATGTGTGCAAAAAGGACCTGATAATGTTGTCAGAGAGAGGACACTGAAGGACAAACTGACTACTCCCATGTTGAAGGTTTGACAAGTAGCTACAAGGCTCTTTATCAACATGGGCTGAGGGAGTGCTGGGGAGGAGAGCTTTGGAAGGCAGGCAGCACAGTTCGGAGTTAGAGTAGGTGCTGGAGATGTCAATGACAGGGGTCCCAGCAGCTGTCAGGGAGGAGAAGCAGGAGAAGCAGGAGCTGAAAGGGCAGTATTAGATGAGGGCTCTCAATGGGAGACAGTCTCACAATGGAAAGTGAAAAGAAATGGCTAAAGGCAGGAAAGGCTGGCCAATCACATCCCTGGATGCTAGTGGACAAGCAGCCACAAACCTCATTCCACTGGGCACTTTGAGAGACATGTTTTTGGATATAGGAAGAAATAATCAGAGTGGCAGTAGTGAAATGGAGATCCAGATGACAACAGGAGGAACAGCCTTTGCATCATCAGGGGGAGTCAAGGGCCTGCCCATCAGCCTCACCAGGCTCCACCGTGTCCTCTGTTTAAAAAGGGTGTGGAGAGGGACATACAACTGGAGAGATGATGGCTTAGTGATTAAAGATCACTGGCTGTTCTAGCAAAGGACCTAGGTTTGGTTCCCAACACCAACATGGTAACTCACAAGTACTTGTAACTCCAGTTTCAGGATACCTGACCTTTCTTTAGAACTCTACTAGGCACGGACATGGTACACAGACATACACACAGCTAAAACATTCATACACATAAAATAAAACAAATGAAAACAGAGGAAAAGAAACCCAGTAAGTTCCTCACTTTGTATCTGACATAGAGTATAATCCGAGGTTATTTTGGGGGAAGGGGAAGGGTGTGTCTCAGTAATTACTGCTGTGCTTTTCTATACAATGATAAAAATATTCCCAAGGAAGGCAGAAGATGAAATCTGAGACTGCAACCTTTCTTCACATGTACATAAAATACCAGATATCAGATGGGAGGAAGGTCAGGAAACAGAAAAGGAGCATCCGTGTCCCAGGAGAGGACTATGCCATCCACTGTAGCCTGGTGTGGTGAGCCTCAGCTGTAACCCCAGCACTTGGGAACTAGAAAATTTAAGGTCAGCAAAGATCCCATGTCAAGATAATCAAAACAAAAACCTATAGCAAAGGTAGCCAGGCTCTGGTGCACAGAATGACAGGGCTAACTAAAGGGCTTGCCCTTGATGAGTCCCAGGCAGCCCTTCATCTCCTTCTGGAGAAGACAAGAGAGAGTGGGGATTGCAGTAAGAGAGTGGGCTGTGCAGGCCTGAAGGACTAGGTCCAGCATTCAGCACAGGCAGACGCTAGAGCCCCTGAAGATTACCGGAGCTGGTGGCTGGCCTCCTGCAAGCACTGCTCCCTCTTGTGCCCAGCTGGAGCTGCCCCTTGGTGAGCCGAGCAGTGAAGGAAGGCATGGAGCCAAGGGTGGAAGTCAGGGCAATTTCCAGACTTTGCGACAGCTTCTGCTCATGGGACACTGGACCTGTTGAGAGATGCGCACACCATAATATCCAGGAAAACTCAGCAAAAGAGAAATTGCCACAAGCCCTTGGAGGCAGAAAATGACCCTTTCAAGTTCAGGCACTTAGTATAACGTCCTCAGAATGGTAATGGCACAACAAGGGAGTCATGTCCTGGGAGCCCTGACAACTCCTTCCCATCTTTGATTCCGGGAAACTCTGGGCTTCTCACGCAGCTCCTCAAAAGTGTTGTACAGGACAGAGCCATCTTGAGGCTTCAAGCAGGACTGCACCTACCTCCTTCCTTCCCTCATTTATTTTGTGGTTCTGGGGATATAGCTTGGAACTTGTGCCTTCTAGACAGTCAGTCTCTACCACTCGCTCAGCTGTCCCCAAAGGCCCTGTGTCACAGCTCACAAGGCCTCCCTGGTGGCCAAGGAAACGATGAAACAAGCAGATACCAGCTCTGGACGGCCCATCGTACTCTACCCTCTGCCTCAGCTGACTTCCCTCCTGTTTTCCTCTTGGTTTATTGAGATAAGGTTATCACTATGTAGCTCAAGATGGCCTCAAACTCATGTTAATTCTTCAGCCTCTACCTCTTAGATTCAAATGCTGGAATTACAGGCATTTGCTACCATACTTTTCTGATTTAAAATAAATAAATAAATGAAAAGGCTCAAGTGCTAGGGAACTGGCTGTGAGTAAAGTACTTTCAGGAAAAGCATGCAGACCTGAGTCCATTTCCCAGAATCTGTGCACAACCCCAGGTGCAGGAGAACACACCTGGAACCCTGGTGCTGAGGAGGTAGGAAAAGGCAGACACCTTGAGCTTGCTGGTCACGTAGTCCTGACAACCCAAGTTTAATCCCCAGAATCCATAGAGGAAGAGAATAACTAACACACTCAATAACAATGATAATAATACTAGTAATAATGAAATGTATGAAACCTTCTAAAAAGTGGAAAGTAATTAAGAAAAACGTGTAAGGGATCCACCTGGCAACCAGAAGGATGATGAGAGGAGGAGTGTGTGTTTGACTCACTCTGGTGGTACACGACTGTGATCCTAGTACTTGGGACGTAGAGGTAGGAGGATCAGGAGTTCAAAGGCATCCTAGTAATACAGAATTCCAGGCTAGCCTGGGTTGCCTAAGACCCTACCTCAAACAACAACAACAACAACAACAACAACAACAACAAAGTTATCTTTAAAACTCTTAGAGGGTAGCAGCAGTGCTGCACATCTTAATCCAGCACACAGGAGGCAGGTGGATCTCCAAGTCTGAAGCAAGCCCAGTCAACAGAACAAGTTCTAGGACAGCCAGAGTTACAAACAGAAACCCTGCCTCAAAGCCAAAACCAACCAACCAACCAACCAAACAAACAAACAAACAAAAGTCTTGTCTTGTCAGTCTTAAAAAGTTACATGGTTTGCCAGACATTTCCAAAGCAGGCCAAGGCTGCTCTGTTCAGGTGGTGGCTGGGATGCAATCCCAGGAATCCCTGTGACATCAGCAGGAGGAGGCAGGAAGACACGCCGCTGACATCTCATACTCAGCAACAGTACAACTCACTCTCACATTTACCAACCATGTTCTCTTCCTGAGAGGCAGGCCTCCGACCTCACACTTTTCCACTTTCTTGTGTGTTGCCTCATGGATAAGGGAGGCAAGGGGAACCACAATGCACTTCCTCCCATCTCCTCTGGGAAGACAAGACATAGCACCCCAAAGGCATCCAAACACATGACATATAGAAGGTTCCAAAAAAGAAGACATGGTCTGCTTTAAGGAATCTATTGCTTCTCCTCCCAGCAGGTCTGAATGGAGGATTCAAGGCAGGAAAAAGCATTGCTCTTTCCAGAAAACACAAAGCAGGCAAGTTTACCAATAAGACAATTGATCACAAAACACAGTGACAGAACTCAGGAACAGTCAGGTATGGGGGGGTCTTGACAGGAGACTCAACACAGTTCAACATTAGTCAGAACTACATAGTAAGCTTTAGCCTGGGCTACAAAGTGAAGCCTTCTTTCTAAACAAACAAATAAAATTGAAAGAAAAAAAGATATCTCAGAATAATAAGAGAACACACAAAATCCTTTGGGGCTTCCAGGTTATCTATGGGCCAAAGACAAAACTGAGATGCCTTAGGGCTGAAGAGAAGGCTCAAAGGTTTAGAGCACTGGCTGTTCTTCCAGAGGTCCTGGATTCACTTCCCAGCACCCACATGGCAGCTCACAAGTATATATAATGGGACCTGATGCCCTCTTCTGATGTGTAGGTGTGCAAGACAAAACTCTCATAAAATACATAAATGAATAAATCTTAAAAAACAAAAACCAAAAAACTGAGACTCCCTACAAAAATGAGAAGGAAGAGGCATGGTCCCCAGCCTCCTAAATCTAACCTAGTAAAGCATAAGGTCAAGGACCGTGGCATCATGTCAGCAGGAAGGGCAGGGATGACGGCCCTGACCACAAAAGAGTGAGTTACCTGCTGAACAGTCCATGTCTGTCAGGCCCAGCTCATTGGCGGCTTTCATCTTCTTGGCAGTCGGCTCTGAGGTAGCGGGTGAGAGTAAAGGGCTTGTGGCAAAGGAAGATGCATCCATGCCAAGGCTGTAGTGTGAGCTGTGCTCAGCCGGCTCCGTCTTCCTTTTCCTTGAGGGCAGGGTAATGACAGAAGGGACCATTGCTGATGGAGTCTGTGCTCTCCCAAGCAGGTGGCAGCCTGAAATAGAGTGCTGGAGTAGGAAACGGTCGATCCGGGCCTTCAGGGCAGGATGAGGTAGGGGCTGGGACTGTGGAGTAAAGGCTAGCCCTGTGAAAGGGTCACTGGGCACCCGGCCCCAGGCAGCTTCACTGAGGTTACACTTCTCCAGAGTGCTCTGGTCAATGACCTTGCCTGAAGGCAGCAGCATGGGGCATGGCATGATCTCCAGGGTGATAGGATCCAGGAACTCCTCTGGCACATCACGAACCACCTCAGACATGTCCTGTAAGGTACAGGGAGACTGCTGGCCCTCAGATTGACCCCCAGGGTCATAGTCACTCTCCATGGGCAAGGCTGGAGTGTGCAGACCCAAGTCCTGAGGCAGGCTTTCTGAGGTTGTCAACAAGACACTATTTATCACCTCCTGAGAGCAGGTCCTGGCTGGCTGACCCCACACCTCTAAACGCTTGATGCAAGGGATGCCACTCCCTGTCACATGGGTGATGCCGATCTTGAGGTGGGCCACATGGCTAAGAGAAAGAGCCCCTTTATTCCAGAGTTCCTGGGCTACAACAGCAGGAGAGAGGAGTGTGACTTCCATTGGGCTAAAAGGTGGTCTAGCCTTGAAGCCCCTGTGGTTGAACACCACATGGTTCTGGTTTTTCAGTAAGACTTTGCCTACCAAGGTGAAGGCCTCCTTGTCTGGGACAGATGTGTCCATTGGCCCTGTAGTCCAGCAGTCCTGTGCATCCTGAGAGGCTCTGCTAGATAAAGCAGATGTATATAATTCCAGGCCAGTGACACTCTGACATCCCCCAGCTGTGAGATCTATGTTAACCCTACAGATTTCCACATTAAAGGGAAAGGAAACTGTCACATAGACTGGAGGTCTAATGAAATACTCTGTTCTAAAGCCATGGCTTCTCTTTATGAGGTCTTCAGAGATGAGATTTTCTACTTCATAACCATCAGCTGACACCTAGGTGTAATGACAAACAGGAGACACACTGATCCAAATGAAGACAACTGGATTTCAAAACTTGTCACTTACAAAAATACTTTTTTAATATTTATTTTATGTATATTGGTATTTCCCCTGCTTGAAAGTTTGTGCACTACATGCATGCAGTACCAATAGAGGCCAGAAAAGGGCATCAGATGCCCTGAAACTGAAATCTCAGACGGTTGTTTGTCTCCATGTGGGTACGAAAGATTGCATCTGGGTCCTCTAGAAGAACGGTCAGCACTCTTAACTACTGAGCCATCTGTTCAGCCCTGCAAAACTTGATTTAAAAAACAAAACAAAACTTTAAATTCTTAATTTTTAAATTTTATTTGTTAAACTGGATTATCTCAAGTTTTTGGAGGCATTCATTATCATGTCAAAGACTGAAGGGAAATATCCCCAAGCATGAGTCATTATAAAAAATTAAAAAGCAAGGCATCATGGCGCATCATATCCCAGAACTTGATAAAGCAGAAGGACCAGAAATTCAAGATCTTTTTCTTTTCTTTACCTTCTTTCTTTTTTTAATTTTTTTTAAATTTTATTTTTGGTTTTTGAGACAAGGTGTTTCTGTGTAGTCCTGGCTGTCCTGGAACTCATTATGTAGCCTGGGCTGGCCAGAAAAACTCAAGAGATCTGCCTGCCTCTGCCTCCCTAGTGCTGGGATTATGAGATTAAAGGCATAAAACCCAGTACGAAGCTCAAAATCATCTCATGTTACATAGCAAATCAGAGAGCAGCCAAAGTTACATGAAATCCTTGACTCAAACAAGCAAAAACAAACCAAAAATTACAGTACATGATCCTGTGTGATGGGTCACGCCTTTAAGTCTCCACATCGGGGAGAGTGAGGAAGGCCCAGTTCAAAGTCATCCTGGTTACACAGTGATCTACAGGTCAGCCTGGGCTCTGCAGATCAGCATTGAGACTCTGTCATAAACAAAACCAAAAACCAAAAACCAGGTCTGGAGGACTGTCTAGTGGTTAAGAGCACTCACTGTTCTTTCAGAGAGGGCCCAGGTTCAGTCCCCAGCACCTGGGCTGGCCTTGAATTCACAGAGATTCTCCTGCCTCTCCACCTCCCTCCTGCTAAGATTAAAGGTATACACCACAACACCTGGAGAAAGCAAATGAATCTTAAAAACAAAACAAAAACAAACCAACAACAAAACAACAAAAACCAACAGGAAAGGGGAAGGGGAGGCGGGAGAGGGAGGAAGCATGCTCCTGAGTGATTCGTTCTGCTGTGCAATGACTGGGCAGGCACAGGTGACATTGCTTGGCTGAGAGGAAAGGGCAAAAGGGCACAGCTAAATGGACTTCAGAACCGAGTGACAGAGTGACAGTGCTCTGTGATTCTTGGGAACTGTCCAATACTTATCCAAAAGCTGCCTGGTGGGATCTAACCCAGGAAATGGGGAAAATCTAAAAAACATATTATATGTGTATGCATTTGTTTGGCTTACCTTGTTGCAGTGAATTCTTGGTCTGAACTGTGGGAGGCAAAGATTTATTACCATCTTTGTGGATGAAAGGATAGCTTCCAAGCATCAGAAACAGCCTTTTTTAAAAAAGTGAAACTTAATATTAGCCAGACATATTAAAATTCAGTTTTAAACTTTCAGGAATTAAATCTAAGAGAGGAACAAATAGGCAGATGCAGAACTTCTGGTACATTCTTCCGGTCTATACCATCTCTCCCTGTCCTACTGATGCTGGGAAAATTACTCACTAAAAAGTTAAGAAGGCAAAATTTTTAACAAACAAACAAAAAACCCAAAACTCATTTTTTAAAATGTGTGTGTGTGTGCCCGTGTGCACACACCCGTGTGCGCACGCTTGCCTGAGTGTATGTTTGTGCACCAGACGGGTGTGCAAGAATCCAAAAAGGTCAGGAGAAGCTTCAGGTATCCTGGGATTGGAGTCATAGAAGGTTGCCAGCCACCATGTAAGTACTGAGAACTAAATCCAGGTGCCTTTAACTGCTGAGCCATGTCTCCAGACTTGAGAAGGTCAATTTCTAAAATAAGTTCTACAGGTTGGCAAAGGCTGCCAGGCTTCTAGCTGATGGCAAAACCATTCTACAGTGTTTGCCCACAGGAAAGAGACAGTATACAAGCAACAGAGCACAATAAAATAAGTGTGGGGTGCTGTCTGAGTGGACAGGGTCAGAGAACAATCACAGCAGTGCTAGGTACTCTTAACCCTGTCAGTGTAGCTGTTTCCTTCTTAAACAAAACACCTGGAAGAGTCAAAAGTATTTCTGAGAAGGCTAGCTGTGATATTTTTCTTGGTTTATAGAATCTATGCAGCGACTGAGAGTATTATCATGGCACCCTCATTGCATGAAATCCTTATGAGCATGGCATATATGACCGTTTCTGTAAGTATACCCGACTCCCCTTTTCTAACTTTATTGGTTATTGTTGTGTATGCATGCATATGATGTGTGTGTGAGGGGCATGTGAAGGTTGGAGGACAATTCAAGACAGCCGTTTTCTCCTTTTACCTTTACAGGGTTCTAGGCATTTAACTTAGGTCACTAGATTCTGTCTTTTAAAGAACTATTGTAAAATTACATTTATTTATTTACTGTGTGTGTACATGCATGGCTCACATATGCCACAGTATGGGAGGGAAAGACAGGAAAACTTGGCAGGAGCTGGTTCTCTCATTCTACTATGGGAATCCTAAGGGGAGACTTCAGGTTATCAGGCTTTGATGACAAGTGCCACCTCGTCTATCCTAGGGTGGCTTCTAAGAGAAGGTTCAGAAGTTAAAAGCACTGGTTGTTCTTCCAGAAGACCTGGGTTCCATTTCTGGTACCCACATGATGGCTTACAATCAGCTGCAACTCAGTCCATTCAATCTGATGCCTTCTTCTGGCCTCTTCGGGCACCAAGCATGCACGTGGTACGAAGCCATACCATGCAGGCAAGAAAACCATACACATACAATTTAAAGCTAGTGTATGTTACAGAAATGTGGAAGCCTTTTTTTGTTTGTTTTATGTTTTGAGACAAGGTATCTCTACTTTCCAAGAGGTACTTGCCACTGCACTCTGCGATAATGAAGATTAAATCAAGGATCTCCTACATGTTGGGCAAGCACTCTACCAAATGAGCTACATCCCCAGCCCCTGAACCATGGGACTCTTGGTTACCCTTTCCAACCTACATTAGATTGAGTCTCAAGGGAAACCTTAATGGGCCCTGCCCATTGTCACTGCCTTTTTAGATCTGTGTAAGAGCCTTCTAGTCAAAAGTCTCACTCAGCTCATAAAGCTGCTCTAACTTGATCAATGGTGGCCAACTCAGTGAGTGAGTACATTACTGACGCATAGGCACCTAGGACAGCCAGACAGAGACTACCTTTCTCCAAGCACTTACTGAGTTGGAAGGAATACATAGAGACTTTTCAGTTCATCTGCATTAAACTATGTTCATTGACAGCCTCAGTGTCATCTTTTGCCTTTGATATGGCATCTTTAGGGACTGCAGCAGATCATATCCCATATCCAACAGCTTTCTCAGAAGTTTAGATAGGATCCTCACCTGTAGCAAAAACAAGTGGAATACATTAATACAATTTTAGGGCTGTGGGTATAACTCAGTGGCAGAGCATTTATTTGCCTAGCTAGCATGCATGAGGCTCTGGGTTCAATCCAAAGCACCACAAATAACTTTAAAAAATACAAAATAAGGCTGGAAATATAGTTCAGTAGTAGAGAGATTGACTAGTATTTGTAAAACTCTAGATTCAATTCCTAGAACTACAAAATTTAGAAAATATAATTTAGTTGCTATATATAGTGGTTTGAATGAGAATGGCTCCCAAAGGCTCATTCATTGAATGGTTGGTCCCCAGTTATTGGAACTGTTTAAGAAAGATTAAGAGGTGTGGCCTTGGAAACAGTGTTACTGTAGCAGGTTTCAAAAGCTAGGCCCAGTCTATCTGTCTCTACTTCTCTAACTGTAACTTGAACATCAGATATGAGCTCTCAGCTCCTTCCCCAGCACCATGCCTGCCTGCCACCATGATCCCTGCCATGATGACCATAGATGAAGCCCACCCCCGAAACAAACCAGTGACTAGGACACTTCATTAGTGTGTGTCTTGTTGCTGGAGAAAAGAGTTTATTTGACCTAACTTCCACATTACAGTCCATCACTGTGAGAAATCAGGGCAGAAACTAAGCAGCAACCTGGAGGCAGGAACCAAAGCAGAGACCATGGCATAATGCAGCTTCCTAGCTTTCTCTTTATGGCTTACTCTGCTTACAGTTTTTATATTTTCTAAGACCACCTGCCCAGGGCTGGTATTGCTCACCGTGGGCTATATACCCTCCCACATAATTATCAGCCAAGAAAATGACCCACAGACTTGCCTACCAGCCAACCTGGCTGGCTTTTTTGTTTTTGTTTGAAACAAGGTCTCTCTATGAAGCTCTGGCTGTTCTGGAACTCACTGTGTAGACTGGGCTAGTCTAGAACTCACAGAGATCCACCTGCCTTTGCCTCCTCAGTGCTGGGATTAAAGCTGTGCACTACCACAGCTGGCTAGAGATTGTTTTTGTTTTGCCTATATGTATAATTATGTATGTATGTATGTATGCATGCATAACTATGTACCACAAACATGTCTGGTGCCTATGAAAGCCAAAAGACATGTCAAAACCCCTGAGACTGGAGTTATAGATGGTTACAACCTGCCATATGGTGAGTTCTCTGGAAGAGCAGTGGGTACTCCTATCTGAGCCATTTCTCCAGCCCCCAATTTTTTTCCAAGTAAGGGTCTCCTCTCTTTCAGATTATTCTAGCTTGTGTGAAGTTGACCAAAAATTAACCAGCACAGTAGGACACAAGGTGGTACAACACATTAGCTAACAACCACAACTTTTCTAAGATGAATCTTTCTCAAGCTGACTCTCTGGACAGTGTCCTGGCCTATCTAGCCACTGTCATGACCATGCTCCTTGCCACACAGTACATATGAATGTATCTAACTGTTCTGTAGAAATCAGTTTGTAAGGTGGGAGGCAGTTTTCTTAAGTTGTTAAAATGATCATACTCTACTCTACCTGGTATGTTCTTTTTGAGACCAATGAGAAATTTTTCCTTTGTTCTCAATATTAAAATAAGTGTTTCTCCTAAGCAACTTGATGTCATTAAGGTACAATCAGAATCTTCTCCTTCAGCTGCTGTATAGCAGGAATAAATCACATGTGGTAGGTAGTGGCTCAGGCCTTTAATCTGAGAACTAAAGGCAGACTCAGGCAGATCTCTGAGTTCCAAGATAGCAAGGGCTATGTAGAGAGATCATGCCTCAAAAAACAGAAAGAAAAGACAGAAAGACAGAAAGACAGACAGAAAAAAAGAAAGAAAGAAAGAAAGAAAGAAAGAAAGAAAGAAAGAAAGAAAGAAAGGAAGGAAGGAAGGAAGGAAGGAAGGAAGGAAGAAGAAAGAAAGGAAAGAGACAAGAAAAAAAGAGCAAGCAGTAATAAAATCTGTAGTCTAGCACTTAAATTTATCTTTGTCGAAAATATTTATGTCATAAAGTTGCTGTGAAATCATTTTCAAATAGGATGGGTAAAGCATAGTTCAATAGTAAATCATCTCCTACTCTCGTAGTCGGCCACAAGATGCAGTGAAGGTATACCTGACTCCTGATCCTCCTGACTCCTCTTTCCCCATGCTGGGATTATACACGGTGCTGCCACAGCAGTCCTGAGATGCACATGTTGAGTAGATTTCTGTCTTCTTTTCCCTTAGTCTTATTTCAGTTTATATTTTAAAATGGAATCTATATGTTTTTAAAGATTTCAATTAATAATAAATTAGATTTTCTTACTACATTAATTTTTGTTGTTATTTAAAGCAGGCTGGCAAAAACCCTAGGCTAGCCTTGAACTTACTACATAGCCAAGGCTAGCCTTGAATTCCTGATCCTTCAGTCTCCACCTCCCTAGTGTGGAGTTAAAGGCATGTACCATCATGCTGACTTCCATGAGTTTTTGAGCCAGTTATCCTACAAACAGTTAAATGCACACTTCAAGGCCTTTATATGCAATGTTTGTTTATTTTTGGATTTTTTTTTTTTTTTGGTGGTGTTAGCTGAACTTCACGCATATCAGGCAATATACTACTGACTTTAGACTTGAACTCATTGATTTTAATAGATGTTGGGCTAGCTTTCTTGGATTTTACATCAGTAATAGTAAGTCTTCTGAAATGATAATTCCTATTGTCTCTTGTTTTACTGTATTAGCTAGAACTTTCAGAATTCTGTAACAGACCATCTATCCTTATTTATTCTCATCAGAAAATCCCTCTTTGGAAGAAATGGAAAAAAAAAAGGAAAAAATGATGCTCAGTGGACAAAGGCAGTTCTAGGATAGTCAGGATTACATAGTAAGACTCTGTCTTAAACAAACGGGGTGCGGTGGCTAGAAAGATGATGGCTCAGTGGTTAAAAACACTGATTCTTTCTTTTAGAGAATCGTGATTTGATTCCCAGCAGCCATACCAAGTGGCTCAAAACCATCTGTAATTTCAGTTCCAAGGTATCCAATGCCTCAGGCACCAGGCATACATGTGGTTCATACTCACACTATGTGCTAACACTGATACACATAAAAATAAAAAAAAAAAAATCTTTAAGGAGAAGGGGCTAAAGCACTGGCTTAGCAGTTTAGAGATTTTTTTTTTTTTGGTTTTTCGAGACAGGGTTTCTGTGTAGCCCTGGCTGTCCTGGAACTCACTCTGTAGAACAGGCTGGCCTCGAACTCAGAAATCCACCTGCCTCTGCCTCCCAAGTGCTGGGACTAAAGGCATGTGCCACCACCACCCAGCGAGAATTTATTGCTCTTGCAAAGGACCTGGGTTTGATTTCCAAGCACACACACATGGTGTTCACAACCATCCTTAATTCCAGTTCCAGGGCACCCAACACCTTCTTCTGACCTCTACAAGCATCAAACACACATGTGATTCACATACATATATGCAGGCAACATATGTGCATAAAATAAATCAATCTAAAAATAACAAAAACCAAAAACCAAAACAAGACCCAAGAACACCACTTACTGAGTCATAACCAGTGTGCTGCACTGGTTTAAACAAGGTCTCCCTCTATATAGCCCAGGTAGGCCTCAATTTTATGGCTATCCTCCTTCCTCAGCCTCCTCAGTGCTAGGATTACAAGTGCAATCCACCACACCAAGCATTTCTTTTTAATTAAATAGTTTAAAAATGAAATACCAGAAATGTACCACATACAAGGGTGAACACTGTTTTGTGAAACTTGTTTCAGATATGATTATGTGTGTGCACATGTGTGTGTAAATATACAGACTTGGGCTAGGGAATGGAGCTCAGTCGGTAGAGTGCTTGCCTCCCATGTATGAAGCCCTGGGTCTGATTACCAGCACTGCCATAAACTGAGCATGGTGGTACAGGCCTATAATCCTAGCACTGGAGAGACAAACGGGAGGATCAAGAGTCAAACATCCTATTTGTCTGCACAAGGAGTTTGAGGTCTTATGGTTACATAAGACCCTGTTTCAAGCCAACAAACACATAAGGCTGGTGAGGTGTCCCAGTGGGCAAAAGTACTTGCTATGTAAGTCTTATAACCTGAGTTTGATTCGGGGAATAGAAAGAGGGAGAACAGAATTGACTTCCAAAAGTTGTTCTCTGACCTCTATAAGTGTACTATGGTATGTGCATGCCCAAACTCACACATACACACCACATATATACTATATAGAGTATAGTAATAAATGAAATTTTAAACAAATTTAAAACTACACCATTCATTCATTCATTCATTCATTCATTCATTCATTCATGGTTTGTATGTGAAAGTGATTTCTTCCTAAGGGTTGTGGTAAATGGAACAATGGGCTGAGAAGTTGCTTAGTTGGTAAAGTGAGTTCAGCTCTCCAGCACACACATAAAAAGCCATGTGTGGCTGTGTGCACCTGTAACCCACCCTTGTGCTGAGGAAGCAGATAGGGAGGTCTTGGGACTTGCTGGCCAGCTGGTCTAACCAACTGGTGAGCTCCAGCTTCAGTGAGAGATGCTGTCTTGGAAAATAAAAGGGAGTGATTGAAGAAGACATATATGACCTTCTGGCCTCCACATACACCGACATGTGCATCCATTTACATGTGCACATGTAGACACAGACACACAAAGCACTGGGAATGTAACTCAGTTGTAAAGTGGGTAGCCTATCACTTACAAGGTTCTGTGTTCAATCTCCAGAACAAAAACAAACAATACCCTCCCACACATCCCCACACACTCACACACACACCAAAAGAACTCTTCAAATTCTCAAGCTGGTGGTGTAGCTCCATTTGGGGTATCCTTGCCTAGCATATACAAAGCCCTAGATTTGATCCCTTCCCCACATAAACCTGCAGTAGTGATGTACGCCTTTAATCCCATTACTCAAGAGGTAAAGTCAGGAATATTAGTACTTCAAAGTCAGCCTTGGCTAGAATTGTTCAAAGCTAGCCTAGACAACCTGTCTATATGTCAGCCTG